CCTCTTTGTCGTGCTTGCGCACATCAACGTCAATGATCCAAGGTTCTTCCCATCGCCAGCCTTCAGATTTTAAATGGAACCCAGTCATCTCCCCAGATTTTGTTCCATCCTCATTGCTGAATGAAGCTCGATCCGTGGGCAACGTTCGAGACGACCAACCAATCATTGGATACCATCGCTGCAATTGTTCTGCTACGGTAAACTAAACTGAGATGTTGGGATCAAACCTGATTTGAGTAAACTTCCACTTTCTGTCGAATTGTTAGGTGTGAAGATAACAAGAAGAGATGAACAGCTCCAAACGAATCCAAAGCAAATGCTGCCTGAGACTTCATGCATTGACAATAACTTATTGAATACAAAAAATTCAATGACCAAAATTCAGTTTTAATCTCACATGCGGAGCGGCAGCAATCTGGCAAATTCTGACATTTTCTCCTGCAACGATGAGAGGCTCAGGCTTCCATTGTGCATCGGATAGATGTTCTGAAAATTAAGTGGGCTAAGATCAAACGTCTAACTCCTAGTCTTTGCTAGTAATTCATCATAGCATCGCGAATATGGGCTCCACTATCATCCCAAGTATTTGAGCTGCTCGTCAGACTTGGAACAAAGCCTAATTTATGATGCGATTGAGCGAAAAACTCAATTTCGCTGCTCACATCATGCGTGCAAACAGTGGCAGAAACACGTAAACTTGCGCCGCTATAACAAAGTCTACTTCTCAGTAAAACTACCTGACATAGGGGACTAAGCACAGCTGCTACACAAAAGTTGGCCTAGTAGTTTTTTTTCATGGCTTAGAATTTGCAATTTGAAAAAAACTCTGAGGATCCTGTTCGCAGAACAAAACTAATAATTTTTGGATTAGAATGAAAAAATGTCATCTACCAACACAGAAACTACGAATTCTAATTATAGCACTACAAAAAATTCGCAAAAAGGCGATTAATCAATAAATATAACAACACTCAAGATGGCCAAAACCGCTATTCAAAGCTACATGTTCAAGGTATACAAAACCTTTTTTATACAAAGATTTCGGCACAAACACATTTTCAGATGCTAGAGCATCCATAAACTTGTGTACTTCTCATTCCAAAATTTTGAAAATTCCCCACAATGAGTTTTCAACTTGCTGGGGTGAAAGTAAAGGAACAATAAATCATTTGATGTAACCTAGTAGACAGTCACTGTGTCAGGAGAACGTATAAAAAGTGTTTCAGATTCCTCTCATTTCGTAATTCTCAGAGGTTGAATAAAGCAAACAGATTGAAGGAAGTGCTGAACCAGAATCTGATTACTTTAGGTAATACGTTATGTTTCATAGCTGGAGAAAGTGTAACAATTTAATTAGCAAACTGAAAAAGGAAGACTGGTTCTAGAAGAACTAGGTCACACCAAATGAGAATGCTCTCCCCTTCATCCTTCTCGTCCCCCTCCCTCCCCACCTCCCTCTCTCCCTCGTCCCCCACTTCCCTAATAGACCTTTTTTATTTTCATTTTTTTCTAATTTCAAAGAGGCAATTACTAAGTAATCTACTGCTCAAAATCTTGTTTAAGGGTTTTCATTCACTTCTTACTTAACTTTTCTGCTACTGCTAATAACACATAAGTTCGCAAAGAAGAAGAATTCATCCTTTTGAACCTCACTTGCTTCAACATCTAAACTTTATTACTTTCTAGCATTATCAATCAGAAGAGAACTGTGACTGCAAGCTGCAAGCTAGCAAGCAGAACGGCGTTGGCATTGCCTTTAAAAGAAGAGTTATTGAGCTACAACAGAAAAAGATATTTCATCTATATAGTAAATTCTTTTGGTATGTTCATGAACTATTTTCAAGCTTTTATTAACTTAAGCA